CGCCCATACAGCGCAGACCCCCCATACAATAATGTAGAAAACCCCCCACTATCCAATATAATGCACTGAAGCCCCCCCTAATATAGTACCCCCTCCCCTTGGATGGCTGAGTGTGTTGGGAGCAGGGAGAAGCTTTACTCAGACGATCAGAGTCCAGTCCGCGCATGCGCAGTATAGGGGTAGGGAGATTTCACAGGGCTTAATCGCCATCAGATTTCCCTACCCCTATACTGCGCATGCGCGGTGTCTGTGAAGCTCTCCCTGTCCCCAAGTGCGCACGCGCGCTGTACCTCCGACGGGAGTAGTTTGGCGCGCGTGCGCACTCCGCATATATGCGACTCACCCCGGATTACCAGCGGCTCGCGGCGCCCTTCACCAAGCACCAGATTCAAAACTAACCGCCAGCTAAGGATTGCGCGCAACCAGGATCACGTGACTGCGTCGCACCGCTAGCGGCCAACCAATAGCTAGCGAATCTGCAAACGGCGGCCATATTGTGGATGTCAGGCCACTGCCAGCCACTGTCTGGTCGGGAAGTACACGTTTAAAACCCTGTAATAGAACTCTTCTTGTGGTCTATTTTTCCAAGGCTTTCTCTTAAAAATACACCGTGAAAGGGTTTACATATATATATGTCTCCGCTTTACACGCATACAAGAAATGGCGACAGAAGACTTGTAAAGAGACACATTTAATGAGAAATTGAAATGGCTGTTCAGTGGTCATTGCTCTGACATTGGGAGGGTTAACAAGTAAACCCAAGATATCACAACAGCACAATCCCAGTGAGTCAGACCAAAGCTATCCCTTACATACTCATCATCCCCACACCTTTCCTCTACCAAAATGGCGGCACGTTGACGTCCCAAATGAACCGTAAAGTGAGACACGGACTCACGCATTCACGGCGGTTGCAAAAAATAATTGCGCGTGCGTAGTTTTCTGGCGTCTGGTTGTCTTAGCAACAGCTCCTAGCGACCGCATTGACAAACAAGAGTTAGCTGCTGACTTGATTGCTCCAGACTCGGTCACCATGATCCCTCCGCCAGACTCGCTGCTGTGCTACGATAACCCGGTGCTAATTACAAAGAACACCGCAGAGAGAAAGTCCCCCAAAGTAAGGAGTAAACCGTGCATAATATTACTTTGATATAAACTGACACTGATTTTTATTTCTAGCCTGAGATTCAATGGCCAGGGTTGAGGGGACCCAGTAACTGGCTGCCCCAGCTCATTACAATTCCATCTTTCTTATTCTGTTGAATGTGTGTAGCAAGCTGTATAAATGGATTTTAATTGCTCTTGTCACGGTATTTAACCCCTTAAGGACACATGACGTGTGACATGTCATGATTCCCTTTTATTCCACAAGTTTGGTCCTTAAGGGGTTAAAGAAACATTTTTGAAGCACTACTGTAGTGGTTATAGTGCCAGGAGTGGCATGGTGGTGTCCAATGGTAAGGAGTCAATCAATGCAATGTTTTGTGGACCCAGGACATACTTGAAAACTAGAGAAATCTCAATGTATCCATCCTGGTAAAATATTTTATAAATAAATACATTTTAAGTACGGTTTACAACTTGCTACATCCAGTTATCTCCTGCAGTAGAAGCCTGATGTCTCTGTAGATCCAGGACGCTGTCAGAGAGCGCTCTGCTGATGCTTTCAGCCAGTGTTATGGGGTGGCTCGGCATAGCTCAATAAAGCTCCAGTTGTAGAGTGGTAGATGGGCTGCGCAATGCATGCTTTTCAGGACCCAGGTAAACCCCAATACTACTTTCCTTTATATCCACAATAAATTTAGATGGAATGACTATAGTTTTTTTTTTTTTTTTTTTTCATACCTTCATAGCATGTAAGCTCATCGAGCAGGGCCCTCAACTGTACGTCCAGTGGTGTGATCTCATTTATGTGTCTGTTAGTCCTCCCATTGTACAGCGCTACGGAATTTGTTGGCGCTCTATAAATAATAATAATAGACATGTATTCAAATGTTTTATTCCTTTATTAGTAAAATGTATACTTTTCCATTATGTTGCTTTCCTTGCAGTTTTAACATTTGCAAAAAATTCCAGGGACACATTCCAGCAAATTCAAGTGAAATTAAAATGTAAACCACACCCACCAGTGCTTTCCACTGTTCAGCCCACTTTGCTTTACTCCAAATACCCATGTATGGTTCTCGTTTTGACAGGACAGTCCTGTTTTCGGAATCCTGTCCTGCCGTTCCAATTTTGTTTGTTTGTATCCCACATTACTGCATAGCAACAACTCAATTGATAGTCAAGAAAACTCCAAATGTGGGACACCAGGGAAATAAATTGCAGCAGTGCAACAGGACCCATAAATCTGAACTGTTGGGGGGGTCTGTTATGGGTGCCACCACTGACGTAAGTCACATCAATGGCAATTTCCTCCGACGTTGGTTCCTGAGTGGAGCTGAGTGCGCACGCATTAAAAACGCCCATAGGAAAGCATTACTCAATGCTTTCCTATAGACGTCCAGCGTCTTCTCACTGTGATTTTCACAGTGAGAATCGTGGAAGCGGCCTCTAGTGGCTGTCAGTGAGACTGGATTAATCCTGGAGTGTAAACATAGCAGTTTCTTTGAAACTGCTATGTTTTCAGCTGCAGGGTTAAAACTAGAGGGGCCTGGCACCCAGACCACTTCATTGAGCTGAAATGGTTTGGGTGCCTATAGTGGTCCTTTAATTGATGGGTGTTTTACACTGAACTAATGAAAGCAAATATTTTACTTATAAAGTCCTTTTGAATTCACTTTTTCTGGGATATTATATTTAGTAAAATAGTACTTTAACCCCTTAAGGACCAAACTTCTGGAATAAAAGGGAATCATGACATGTCACACTTGCCATGTGTCCTTAAGGGGTTAAATTAATATTTCATGGGACAGAGAAAAAATAAATTAAAAAACAAAAAATACTATTTAATAGATATGCCTTTTTTAATCTAACACAGTTTGTCAAAGCTGCAGGTCTCAACAAAATAACGGGCATACATTAAGTTTCTGCCCTTCTACAGACACTATAGTCACCAGAAGTACTGCAGCTTAATGTAGTTGTTCTGGTGCCTACTGCCTGTTGCTGCAGGCTTTTTAATGTGAACACTGCCTTATGACAGCATTTTCAGACTTGAAAATGAATATAAATAAAAAGCAGTGTTTACATTACTGCCTAATCACTGCCTATAACAGCTGGTATTAATCCACAGTTATTTGATAAGTAAATGGTTGATTAATAAAAGAAAACACATTTTAGGCCAGTTTAGCTAAGTGTGACATTTTATTTTAGCTTTACAGATTATTTGGTTCTGCAACATCAAAGCAAATTTCCTTTTTTTTTTTTCTATTTTGGTTCAGTGTACAGTGACATCTGGAAAACACTTGAGTTACATGTAATGATGGTGCTTTAAAAAAAAAACTGAAAGTCCATAAAACAAAACAGAATCAGCTTTGTGGAACATTAGACAATCTTTTGGCAAAGCCCCACACATGAAACACATACAGAATCCCAGGTGGCTGGGGCACTGGCAACTAGGGCAGTTTTTTAACATTCATTTCCAATAGAATATAAAGCATGCATTTCACGAAGCACCCAATGACTACTCCTTGAGGTTTATTTTTATTCATTTTCAAGTCTGAAAATGCTATCATAAGGTCATAGCTGGTGTATTATTTTATTAACCCCTTTGTGACCACACAATTCTGAGATTTTGTGCCTCCCCTCCCTTCCCTTTAGCACCCAGCTGGCGGCCGCATCTCTTGTCTGTGGGCCCAGCCATGATCTTTGATCTCCCCACCAGCCCATGGAGACACTATGTAACCTGCCACTCGGATAGAGCCGACCCTGCACGCATGGCCGGGGAGATCCTGTGATCTCCCTGCCGGCCTCGGCCCCACGGCCATCGCGGCCCACCGGGCATTTGCCCGGTATGCCCGATGGCCAGTCCGGGCCTGAGTAGAGCATTGAACCTGCTTCAAAAGTTGTGTTAATCTTGAACATTCCTCCGCGGAAATTATTTGGATGATTCAGAACGCTTTTAGGGATGACGGTGCAGCACAAGTAAAAGTGTGGCACAAACGCTTCAAAGATGGTCAAAAATCTGTTAAAAGTAATCCATGTTCTGGAAGGCCTGCATCAAGCAGAACACATGAGAATGTTGAACGTGTACAGGCTGCAATCAACACAAATCTGTCACTCTGAGTGTGCGAGAACTAGAAGCTCATGCATTAGAGTTGAGCATGAACGTGGGCTCCTGGTGGTTAAATCACCAAGAGCTGAAGAAATAATGTGACAGAGCTGCTTTAAATCAATTCTGAATGTTTTAACAGTGAATCAGGGTGTCCTGGTGCCCTTGGTTCCCTCTGCAAGAATGGCAAAAGTGAAGCCACACTTCTCCTTATGCCACAGAAAATCATTTAAGCAATAGCTGGCAGTTTTGGGTTGAATACATTAGCAAATTATGGTACCAAACCATTACACAAAAATATATATTTATGTAAAGTAGACCTCCAGGGTATTTAATATTGACAGTTTTTCTTAGTTCCACTTTAACCAGTTGTGTGGATATATGCTCATGCCCATTTGCCCTCATTAGTATCTGGCTGAGGGGGCCATTAGGGATGGAAATTGCAGGTAGGGCAGCAGGCAGCTTACTGTACTTAGTTTGCATGCTTGCTGCTACCCTGCAAAGAGTCTAGTGCTGGCTCAACTCATCAGCCAGGTCCTTGGTGGTCCAGTGGTATAACTGACACTGTGTACACCTTCTGGTAACCCTCTATGATATCCTCTCCCTCGCAGCTCCGGTGCTCAGCTAGTGAGTCCGAGCGCAGTCGAGGGGATTCCCATCCTGCCTTCTGACTCCATTCTGAGTGCCGAAACAGTGAGGGAGAGGATATCACAGGAAGGGGTGCATAGCATACGTTATACCATTATAACAACAGGTACCACATAACAGCAACTGCAGTGGTTCCACCGCACAAGGCATGGAGGCAGGGTGCAGGCAGGTTCATTTGGACTGATAGAGAGAGTAAGTGTTTCTATGTGTGTCAGTGTATGCATGTGCGCATGTCTGTCAATGTGTGTGGATCTGTGCATGTGTGTTAGTATGTACATCTGTGCATATATGTCAGTGTGTGTATTTGTGCATGTGTGCCAATGTTAATGCGTGTCGGTGTACGTATCTGTGCATGTGTGTCAGTGTTTGTGTGTGTCATTGTATCTGTACATGTTTGTGTCAGTGTGCATATCTGCACATGTGGATTTTTCATGTATATTAATTTGTGTCAATGTAACTGTGTATGTGGGTCACTCCGTGTGTGTATCTCTTGTAGTGGATCTCTGTGTATAGATGTCTCTGGGCTTCTCTGTGACAGTGTGTGTTTCTGTGTATTGAAATGTACTCCTGTATGTGTTTGTGGCAGACTGGCAGTGCATATGTATTTGTGAATAGACATTTGCATGCAATCACTAATATGACACACACCACATCCTGCATTCAAAGGCCAACTTTGCCATGTTTTTTTTTACAAACTTCATTGATTGGCTGAGAGCACTGGGCTTACGCATCCCCAGCACTCACATGCATTTGTGAAATATTTGGCATTAAACAGGAGTAAAGCACTGAGACACTCTAGGCAAAGCAGCATATTTCATACACAGCAGTAAGGATTTTTATTTAAAATAAAGTAATAAAGTAGTGGAAAAATTTGGTTTATTATTATTGGTTCGGCATCAGGCATTGCATTCTTTTTAGGCTAACAATTAAATGTAATGTGCTTGTGATTTTAGTTTATGACATTTTCAAATGTTTATCTTTCAGTCTCGAATTCTGAAAACTAGTACACAGCAGGCGGTGCCAACGGTTCCAGTACCACCTCCTCCAAAGACCTTAGACGCTGCAAAACCCCCCGAAGAGATCCTAAATGCAATTCTACCTCCTCGGTAAGTGATATGTTACTGCAACAAACATATTTTTTTTAATAGTGGCAATAAATACCAAAGTAGCATCAACATTTTTTATTTTACCTATTGTACCCTTTATAATTTTGCTCTCTTTAATTTTGTTGCATAAATTACAAACAAGCATTTATTTTCTATTTAACAGCCTCGTGAGGTAATATATCAAATTGTTGGGATTATAGGCACATTGCAAGGTTTGTGCTAGTATACAAAAAAAATAACCAATATCTATAATGGCACAAATACTTAACTTGTATTGCTTTACCTTTAACTTTGTGGCAGTTATCCCTGAGACTTCTCCTCTAAAGCCTCCTTTACATCAACACGTATGTAAAATAGATATAGAGTTTCAACTTTTCACTAAAAGAATATAAAGCAGAGCAATAACTTGTAACTGCTTGGACTGGTGCAACTAAAGGGAAAATTATGCACTCAGAGTATTTTAGAGATAATGCGCTTAACAGGTGCCTCCCCACAGTGCTACAGGGTCTTACTATACACTGTGTTCTACTCCCCATGTATACCCTCAGCGGTTCTCACCCAAAGCACACAGAACACGTATGCTGTTCTGAAGACTTATTCAATAAAATAGCTTAGGACAACATTGTTTTATACTGGTTTTATGGAATACATCTCCATAACCGCTTCCAGGTATAAATGGGATGTTTTTTTCTGACTTATTTGATATTCTGAGCATTTTAATATGTCAAATATCTGCTCTGTACCTTGCACACAGGGAATGGATGGAAAACAATCAGTTGTGGATTCAGCAGGTATCCAGCACACCAAGCACTCGAATGGATGTACTACACTTACAAGAAAACCTGGATTTGAAACTACAGCAAAGACAGGCCAGGGAAACTGGAATCTGTCCTGTGCGCAGAGAGCTGTACTCACAATGCTTCGGTCTGTTCTTTGTAAATCTCTTGTCTCCTGTTGTCTCTCTGTCTTTTGATTTGCCTGAGTAGGGAGTTAAAGGGACACACAAGATCCTCAGTACGCAGCAGAAAAAAAAACTTGGTTGGTGAATTTTTCCAACTTGGTCTGTAGTTTGTAATCCCTGTCTCAGTTCTTAAATGATTCTTCTATATCGGTGCAGTGGATAAATACTTATAGGTTTTTCTGATACTATGGGGATATCTTGGTATCAGCATAACCGCATATTTGTTCCCAGCCATTGCCCTCAGCCTATCACTGCCATCCAGGTTTTCATAATTATATTTAAGGTCAAGTCCTGGTTTTTTATTTATTGTTTTTTTTTTTTGTTTTTTTTTTTTCAGAATAGTCTCTTTGACACCCAAAGACTATTTGCACCATAACCACTACACTAAGTAAATTAAATGCACATATATCAGAAATATTTTAGTTGCATTAACTCATGTAGAAGTCAGTTGATTCTTATGAATATGATAGACCATGGGGAGATACCTGTAACTTACTTTATGAAAACTCTCTTTTTGATGGCAGATGAGCTGATCAGACAGGTAACAATTAATTGTGCTGAGCGTGGGATCCTTCTGCTAAGAGTCCGTGACGAGATCCACATGACCATATCTGCATACCAGACATTGTATGAAAGCAGTGTAGCCTTTGGTATGAGGAAGGCCTTACAAGCCGAACAAGGCAAATCAGACATGGAAAAGAGGGTATGTATAAACTTATATCAAAGGTAAATATTTTTTATTTTATTTTTTTATTGAATGGAAGCGAATGTGGGCCAACCCGTGTACTGAAAACTATATATATATATATAAATATTATGCAGTACTCTTATAGGCACATTTTCCGTCATGGAGTTAAAAAAGGAATAAGCAGTAAAAAAAATCTGCATTCATATATTCTGATTTTATTAAATATGTAATGTTTAAAAAAAAAAAAAACTAATTGTGCTCCTCAATTTTTTGCTCATTTGGTTACCTTCCACTTGATCTATGAACAAAATCAATCAATCCAATTTTTTCCCCATAAATGATATGTTGTTTTGGCATCAAGGTAAAAACTCTGAATCACAAAGCTGTTCGTCCATTGTCTGTTTTGGTTGTTTTATGAAACATCCATATGGCACTTTGGAGTTATAGAATTCAGATGACCCGTCAATCAACCCGAATTCAGATGAATTGAAACCGAATGCACATGTCTATCAGCTTCCAAATTCAAGGGTAAACCTGTTGCCATGTTGGAGTCGGAAATTTTTTTTCCCCATTTCCTGTCAACACCTGGGGTTTTCCCCTTCATTTTGAATAAATTTAAGAAAAAGTGATATAAGATGGGAAAAACCATATTGAGTCCAAATAAGTGTGAAATATATCAATGCATAACCAACCTCATTTCAACTATGGCACAACTTATTAAGTTAGCCGGTGTGGTATCTCATTTGGTAAATTCCCTGACTATTCAAAAATATTCAAAAATGCAAGGTCACAGGTTAAAATCCTGGCAGGGTCAACTCAGCCTTTCATCCTTCCGAGGTTGATAAAATGAGTACCATCATTTGACCTTAAGAACCTGTGAAAGGGAATGTGGTAACAAATAGAGCTAGGACCACTATTCACTTTAAAATGTATGTCAGTTAGGATAGTACCAGTGCCATCCAGGGCATGTACCCTTTTAAATCCTGTACCTTTCCGTGTATAAGACGCCCCATGTATAAGACGACTCCTGTTTTTTTGAGCCCAAAATTAAGAAATAAATATTTTAAACATCAAATATGACAACTTTGATATTTTAGAGATAACTTCTGAGGAGAACAACACACTTCTGATTCTCATGCCTCCCCTCTGCTAAGGTACTCTGTGAAGTTAATGGCTCCATAGTGCATGATGGGAGATTACAGCCCCCACAATACAGCAGGTGGTCCCTGATCACCATTTCCTCCCTATAAATATAAATCAGAAATCAAGAACTACCTGCAGTGGAGCAAACCTTAATATGGCTGCTCCTTTTATGGTGTGGCATGTCTCTTGAGCTCCTTTGGTGGTAAGTGCTGACGTCTGCTGCAGCTCCAACTCATATAGGGACCTCTTCCTCCTTGCCACAGCATTCAGAAGGGGATCGGCAGGAGAGAAGCCAGGTATGTGTGTGGGCCATGGTTCACTGAAATGTGGCAGGTGCCATCTTAACTTAGGCCCTGCGCACAAGTGTTTTTTTTTTTAAACCTCTGCAGTGACATTCTGGAATAAGACAGCCCCCAAGTTTAGACTAACTTTTTTAAACCATAGTATTTTATACATGGAAAATACAGTATGTATAATCTAAAATTTAAAAGTCTCCTACTAGGGGATCCAAAATCTGGTAATGATTTAAGACGCACATACTATAAGGTAACTAATAATTAAATTATTAAAAAATGAGAGCTGGTGATTTTGGATACAAATTAGCAGCAGCTTTTTGCAGGATAGACAATGTACCTAGATTCTCAACAGGATTTATTGTCAAGATGCCAATTAGATCACTAAAGTAGCTGTCTGTTATCCAGCTGCTGCTAAATAAAAATTTAAATTGAATGGGAATAGGTAGCCTATTGTTGCTAAACAAAGAGTGCATTTGTATTCCTATTCTTGAAACAGAGTTTATGTATACATATTCACACACTTGTTGGTATATTAATGGTAAGAATGACAACTAAATCAATTAGGCGGTGAGAAGGTACTCTGCCACTAAAGAAAATTATATTATAGCCTTGCATGTCTCAGAAAAGACAAAGTGGAGGAGGCAGCCTACCTGTACTAATTTAGCTAACTCCAATAGTATATCCAAGAAAAAAAAAAAGTATTTTTTTTTTGTGTTCCTTTCCTCAATAAATTGTACAATGCATCCTACCTGTTGTACCCATGGAGTTTATAGTGGGTTCCAATAGGGTATAATTGGTAATCAAAGATGGAACTGGAAGTGATCTCCCAAATACAGAGCCTTTAAATGACCTATACTGCAGTTATCTCAATACTTAAAGGCATATTGATAGTACCATCTGATTTATGAAATCTGGTAAGGAAAAAATTGTTAACTTAGTGCTCTCAAAAGAAAACCTCCCAATGTAAGTTACTCTAATGGAAGAAGATATGTCTGATCAGAAATGAAAGCTATTGCCTAAATGCAGAAGCAAACCCCTTGAAAAATACATATTTTCGTTGTCTCCATACTTGGAGACAACCTACAATGCCTCAAATATTACCTTAGCCTGAAGCCAATACCTCGGTTATCTCAGATTGACGAGATAGCCTACCATCAAACAAGGCTGTTTCCTTAAACTAAATTACAATCACCCAAACCACCCCTGGATTGGCATGTCAGAAGAGTGCTCTGTGAATAGAAACAAATTCCGGAATTTGGTTTCGGTGCCACACCTTCGTCAGGAGAAGTACCATATTAGAAATGTCCATATTTGAAATTTCCTTGGTTTATAAACAGGCTGCTCACTGTTTAGTAGACATGCTCCTACTCACGACATAGCGAATAGGGGCAGGTGGGAGAATTTAATCTCCCTTATTTACTAAGTAGTTTTTTTACTTCGTATTAGTAAAGTTGGTTGAAAGAAAAAAAAAAACAGCTTTTTAGTAGATAGCTCCCTAATACTGTGGGAATTAGGGGAATTATATAAGATGCAGCTGCGGCATGTATCGGAAATTTAATTTTCCGAATAAATTCTTGTGAATTTTGTTGTAACAAGGCTGTCTATTTTCTTTCCTTAACTGTTGTGGAAAAAGTAAAGTGGTTAGGCAATTATTGTTTTTTTTTTTCATTGTTTATAGTAGTATGACTAATTAAGAAGATGATTGTTTGACTCCTTTCATGTTATATGTCTACTGAATGACCATGCAATTTATCCATGGATTCTGCTATGTAAATGCAGTGTGGTGTTTAGTAAAGTTCCACAATATGTGGCTCAAAGACTTGAATGACTGGTACCAGGTGGGCCTTATGCTTTTTTGAGCGGGCACAATTTGTGGGATAATTTTCTTCATAAATAAATGCAAGTGCATCTAGGCCACACATAGGTATCAGTTTAACATTTTTTGATATGCTTGTCAAATGCATTAAATATTATAGAAAAACTTAACAAATGATTTGCTAAAGAAATTCCAATAGACTTTAAAGGATACTTCTGTATAAATATGATTTGGCAAGTTTTTTTTCTAACAGATTTGAATAATTAGAAAATCAATCTTAAAATGTTTTATCACCTGAATTACTACTCTTTCACTAAATGAACACGGAAGGCTAGTTTGTAACATGTTATGTCATGTTACTACCACATTATTAGTTTTAACCAAATGTAATATGGAGGTAGCATAAAATGGAAAAACACAATTCTTATAAGATTTATACCTCATTGCAAAGAAATAATGCCATATTAATAACATTAGCATGATGTCTAGCTGTATAGACATGTGTCTTATGGCGATTGAGTGATGCATTGGATTCTGCCCCAGTGGAAGGTTAGAAGCGCCCCTCATCTTTGTGTAAAGTAATAGAGATTTTGTCATGATAATCTCATACCTTTATGTCTGCAGATTGCTGACTTAGAGTCGGAGAAGAAGGATCTAGAGAAACAAGTTAATGAACTGAAGGCAAAATGTGAGGCTACGGAGAAACGTGAAGCAGAGAGACGGCAAGAGGAGGAGAAGAAGCATGCCGAGGAGATTCAGTTCCTTAAACGAACAAATCAACAGCTAAAGGTGAAGCTCCTAAAAAAAACATAAAAGCCTTTCCATTGAACCACTCTTGGATTAAAGGCACACTATAATCACCTCAACAACTTTAGCTTAATTAAGCAGTTTTGGTGTATAAATCATGCCCCTGCAGTCTCACTGCTCAATTATCTGCAATTTAGGAGTTTTATCACTTTGTTTATGCAGCACTAGTCACACCTCCCTAAATGTGACTAACACAGGCTACCTAAACACTTCCTGCAAAGCGACATCAAATGTTTACATTTCCTTTATTGCAAGTTCTGTTTAATTTAGAATTTCTTATCATCTGCTCTGTTAATAGCTTACTACCATGCAGGATCCTCCTTTGTGTGCTTAAAGTTCAATATACAGAGCAGGAGATAAAAACGATAAAAAAAGAATAAGTTACATCTGATTCAAAATGAAACCATTTTGTTTTCATGCACGCTGTGTCGTCATAGACAGGGGAAGTGTGGCTAGGGCTGCATAGACAGAAACAAAAGTTATGTAACTTCTAAATGGCAGTACATTGAACAGTGAAACTTCAGAGGCATGATCTATATGCAAAAACTACTTCATTAAAGGGACACTATAGGCACCCAGACCACTTCAGCTCATGAAATGAAAGTGGGGACAACTTTTTGGCTACTTTCTGAGCCTTTATCAAGTCATGATAAAGGCTCAGAGAGGAGATGAAACATTGTCTCCACTTCCTTGTTTCAAATAAAAATACTGCCTTTTAGAAGAAACCTCAGGTGTGCCTGGACTTTTTTTTTTTTCTTCCAGTGTCAGTTAGGTGACCAAAAGTGGACAACCAGTAGTTGACAACCAGTAGTAGACAACCAGTAGTGATGTCCCGAACGGTTCGCGGAACGGTTCGCCGCGGACGGCGAACATATGCGCTGTTCGGTCCGCCCCTATGTCATCATTGAGTAAACTTTGACCCTGTACCTCACAGTCAGCAGACACATTCCAGCCAATCAGCAGCAGACCCTCCCTCCTGGACAGCCTCCATTTTACATTCATTGTGAAGCTGCATTCTTAGTGAGCTGTCCAGGAGAACCATTAGGCGAACCGTTCGGGACATCACTAACAACCAGTAGAAGTGGAATTAACCCTAGAAGGTAATTATTGCAGTTTCTTGCATATTTACCTGCTCAGAGTTAAGGGACCTAGGACGCAGTGGTGGAAAGCTTATTATATTAGGGCATCGAGAACAGTCCTGCCTGAAGATATGGCAGTGTAGAAGCCATTTTTGGAAATGATTCTGCAGAAGACATTTGACTTATTTAGGCATTTCTGATGTAGACAAAAAACTGCCACACCAGATTCTGCCTTTATCTTGTTGAAGAGAGCGAGTGTATGTTTCTTTTGAAAAAAACAAGTTTTTTGAGACTATATTTATAATGTGGATTGGGCCATATTCATTTGGAAGACTGCTTTTCATTATTATAACTAATTTTCATTATTTATGTACAGTTATCATGCAGTGCAACCAAGTAAAATAAGTTAAAAAAATAATAATAATTCTGGCACACTAAATAACATGTGCAAAATTGTTTATGCTAAACAAAACTTTAAAAGAATCAAAAAATGTTTGTGCACCAAACACATAACAGGTGGAAATACATATAACAGTTTAGAGCTGATTTAAACATAGAATAGTGAAAAAAAGTTTTCTTATAAAGCCAGTTGAGGTTCAGTATAATGATATAAATAGCATTTTTTAAAGTACTTGATACCTGTCATTTAACTAGTTTATCATTTCTCTAAACCCATTTTTTTATCCAATTCTTTTTTTTTTTTTTTACATTTTGTCTGGAAAATTAGCAGATTTTATATTTTCATATTTACCAACAACAAATCTGGTCCAAATGTGGTCATCTCTCGGTAGAGGGATTGTTATTTATATTAAAGGGACACTATAGTCACCTGAACAACTTTAGCTTAATGAAGCAGTTTTGGTGTATAGAACATGCCCCTGCAGCATCACTGCTCAATCCTCTGCCATTTAGGAGTTAAATCCCTTTGTTTATGAACCCTAGTCACACCTCCCTGCATGTGACTTGCACAGCCTTCCATAAACACTTCCTGTAAAGAGAGCCCTATTTAGGCTTTCTTTATTGCAAGTTCTGTTTAATTAAGATTTTCTTATCCCCTGCTATGTTAATAGCTTGCTAGACCCTGCAAGAGCCTCCTGTATGTGATAAAAGTTCAATTTAGAGATTGAGATACAATTATTTATGGTAAATTACATCTGTTTGAAAGTGAAACCAGTTTTTTTTCATGCAGGCTCTGTCAATCATAGCCAGGGGAGGTGTGGCTAGGGCTGCATAAACAGAAATAAAGTGATTTAACTCCTAAATGACAGTGAATTGAGCAGTGAAATTGCAGGGGAATGATCTATACACTAAAACTGTTTTATTTAGCTAAAGTAATTTAGGTGACGATAGTGTTCCTTTAATGGGAATAAAATGGCAACAGAGAACAGTGCCAGCAGTTGGGAAGGTAAAAAAATGTGCCACTGGGCAGCTATTGCTACACAGCAACTTAAGACCAAATTCCATTATCAATAGGATGAGGCTTGTAAATTAATGCATTAAGTGGGGGATATTAATTTAAAGTTCCCACAATAAACGCTACTCCCACTCTTAAAACGCCAAAAAACAGATCCGTATGAGTCCCTTGGGTTTGGCTCCAACTGAGCATTCAACAGGGAACAGGGAAAGGCCTTCCCCCTAAAAAGTATTTAGAAAGGGGAGCTTAGAAGCCAATGAATCACAGTTCTCTGATGAGCAAACATTATCTCTTGCAAGACTTGCCTGGTGTTTTTTTTAGAATATACATTACCAGGCAAAGGCTTGATGTCCAGAGCACTGTAGGCAAATGGCTTGAATTTTTAACATTTGAATCCAGATAACCCTTGGGATCTGAATATTTTAGCATCCTGCCCAGTTTACAGACATCGGCTTCGGCATCCAGACAGGCTGAAATCAGCACAGGATTCTGGCTCATTTGGAGCCATTGTTACAAAATCCAGACATTGAGAAATAATGTGAACAATGTCTGGATATTGCAGTCTGAATGCTACAGGAAGATCTGGATACATTTTACAATTTAATGCTGGGGCAGTCAGGCTTCTCTAAATAAACCCCAATGTTTAAACATTATAGCACAGCACATTTAGTCTTGCTACATCAGCACTGCACTTGTTTTGTTGCATCGGAATGTATAAAAACAGGTGTACATCAATACAATAACCATTTGTGCAATAATATTTGTTGAATGTCCAATCACTTTATTTTTCTTATAAATGTTTTTTGTGTAAATATTACTGTGACAAACTCCCCTTTTCCTGTGAGTCTGCCACGAGTCCTAGGAGGGGCGTGCTTGACAGCCTCCTGCCCACAGACTATGGAACATGTAAACTGTGTCTATTTGAATGATATGTTTCGGTAACTGAGCAGCCGCACGAACCGGAGACCACCCTGGAGTTTGCTAAAGTAATTGATGCATTGTTGCAATTGTTGATACATTGTTGCAATTTCCACTGCAGTGGTCTAAGTTTTCGTCTGGGCGGCCGCAATTCCTATGGACGACCACTAGGTGGCGGCCATCTTGTTCGCATGAACCAAAACCACGAATAGACTTCAGGGGGACTTAGCCGTGAATGCCCTGGAACTATTTTCGGCATGAAAACTTTGCGGTTCCCGGTCTGTCCTCCAGCGGCACTTAGCTGCAATTCTATGGAACTATTTTCGGCTATGGGACCATGGCTGCGATCGGTAAAGACTATGAATTCCATAAAATTTCTGAACCCCTGAACTGATCTGGGTGATTTTTGGATATGTTGGTCACCCAGATCAAGGCTATCAAGGGATGTAACATTTGTGGGGATATGTGTTTTGGGGTACTTTTGGGTCTTTTTAGAAATATGGTTTTTTTTTCTGCCTGTAGATAATTGAATTGATACAGTATCGGACTTAATTATCTCCCAGGCAGAGAGAAGGGATTGTATTTTTGTTATTGGAGTGTCGTGCATTTAATCACTGTTCTTATTGGTCTGTGTCTTTGTGTTGGAGTCCCCAACAAGGTCCATGTGGGCATACCCCTTGTATGGGGATTGTCATAAAAGGCCAGTGTGGCTACCATTAAACCAGTTCCTCTTCACCCTCAACATAGTCTAATCTCATGTGTGGAGGGGACAGCTATATTCACACTAGGGATTGCTATACTCATTATACTCCCCTGGGTTCTAATCACTAGCTCTTATAAGAGTTGTTCCTGCTACGATCTCTGGAGTTTCACCCACTGGAAGCTGGATCATGGTCTTGGGTCCAGGGTGGGTGGAGGACAGCGAGATCCCCAACCAAGTCTACAGTGCTGATGGTGTCTGGTGGAGTGCTTGGAGTCCTCGTTGAGCACTAGGAGCATCGATTGACGGAGGCACCCAATTGGGTCACAATTACGTGTTTTGGACTACTGTTATTTGCAAGGTTAACACACCTTTTGAAACTCCTTAAAACCAAAATCTGTCTGTGTTGTAAGTTTTGTTAGAATCCTATTCTTTGATAGAATGCGGCATTCTCTTCACAAAATTAAAGGGATCCTATAGTGCCAGGGAAAACAAACCCTTTTCCTGGTACTAGAGGCTCCTGGAGTGCCCCCCTCCCGCGGGGCTAAAAGTGCCTCGGTGCTGGATCAGGCTCCGTCCGCGCTCCTCCCCCGACGACTTTAGCCAGCGGGGGAGAGCTAATGCGCATGCGTTGCAATGGCTGCGCGCGCGCATTACACCTCCCCATAGTAAAGCATTGTTTAATGCTTTCCTATGGGGAAAATCTGATCCTGGAGATCCTTGAGGACGTCCAACGTCAGATAACGGACCAAAAGTCCCTTTGGATTCCGGAAGCCCTCTAGTGGCTGTCTTCTAGACAGCCACAGAGGGCAGACTTAGAGCTGCAATGTAAACATTGCAATTCTCTGGAACTGCAATGTTTTACACTATAGCACTAAGTGCAAAAGGGTCATAGCACCCAGACTACTTCAATGAGCTGATGTGATCTAGGTGCCTACAGTGTCCCTTTAAGGTTGCACAGATATTCTGTATCGTGGAAACCTGTTTTTTCGTTTTGTGTTATTGTGTTGTTTCCTCTTTTTCTTTCTCTCTTGTGTACCTTAAAAACAGTGCAGGGAAGGAGCAGGATAGACCTTAATCTAAGTAATGAATAACTGTCATCATATAGAATGAAATTAACATATTGACAAATCTACCATTTTTATTTTATCTTCCTACTCTAAGTTGCTGAATTAATATATCTGTGGACAAACTCACAACTGGTCACTTGTGTGTATGTTGTACATGTAATGTGCACAGACCTTTTTGGGCACAGAAGTCGTTCACATGACCTCCTGTATTGTTATCATAATACACCACCAGAGGGAGACATACTTCTACATTAAATAAGTGCTTATCCATTGCTGCACAGTAAAAACACATTGCATAGAAAGAAAATCAGGCTCGACTGAGGCTTTACATTTCTTTTGAAGTTGACATTTATGAATTGGAAACAAGGCACACTCTAAACACGTTTTATACATGTTTGGAATGTTTCTTTGAATACATTAACATTTAACCTATACATTGTGCTAACTAAATTTTCTATAGATCTTTATTAACCTTTAAACTACAACTGTGGACAACACAGTTGGACATTTAATCTAGCTATCAAATGTGTTCTAGGTTATGTTCCTGTAACCTTTATGTTCATGGGTTTCTAGTTAAGTATTTTACTATTAGCCATATATTAATGGAAGTAGTTCTTATTTGAGGTTTTCATGAGAGAGAGTTTACTATTTCATATATTAGAAAAAATATATATTTTATTTATATGAAATATACTTTTTAATAATTTCTACTTGCCTACAAAATAGTAAAAAGTAAAAATTCAGAGTGCTATGAACCCATTATTGAATGAGTATATCCTCAGTACGTTTAACCACAGCAGCATAATGTAATAGTGGCCACACATCTGATATCTATGAGTGTAAGAAGTGGGGTTAAACTAGGGGATTGAGCAGCTGAATGCTTTCAGGATAGGGAAGTAACTCTTGTCCCTTAAGTCCCACTCATCTTGCTTCCTTTTTTCCATCCACTGGGCAGTTATTGTGACAGTGCTTGGTGGGAATTATTTTCTATTCCAATGAATGCACAGGGGCTGCTTGACTTCCCAGCCCTGTGATGGTAAACAGTTTGATATTAGACTGGGGGATTGTGCCAGGGTACTTTAAAGGGACACTATAGTTACCAAAAAAACATAAGCTTCATAAAGCAGTTTTGGTGTACAGATCATGCACCTGCAGTCTTACTGTTCTGCCATTTAGGAATTAAATCACTTTGTTTATGCAACACTAGGCACACCTCCGTGCATTCGATTTACACAGCCTTCCTAAACACTTCCCGTAAAGAGTCATCTAATGTTCACACTTCATTATTGCAAATTCTGTTTAATTTAAAATTTCTTATCTCCTGCTCTGTTAATAGATTGCTAGTCCCTGCAGGAGCCTCCTTGTGTGTGATTAAAGTTCAATTTACAGATCAGGAGATAACTTTTAAAATAACTAATTTTGGATTGAAAATTAAATAATTTTGTTTTCATGCAGGCTGTGTGAGTCACAGCCAGGGGAGGTGTGGCTAGGGCTGCATAAACAGAAACAAAAGTGATATAACTCCTAAGTGGCAGTGAAACTTCAGAGACATTACCTATACACCAAAATTGCTTCACTAAAGAGACCCTCTACTGACCAAATAAATAAACATTTCTGTTTAGTAGATATACCCCAAATGGAAACTTGCATGCATTTAATTATGCTTTTTTTCATTATTGATGTATCTAAAATCAGCTTGCAAAACATGCAGCTCTCTTGTCTGCTGCCTTTGCAAGCACTCCCCTTCAAACCTTGCCCAGACTTTCTGCGGCTGTCCAATCACAGACCTCCAAATGCAGCTCAATGAGAAGTCTTTGTAAGTCAGGTGCTCTGGGCAATAGCTGCTTCTTGAGGTCAGCTGCATTAAGCTAACCAAACCAGGAAATAACAGGACCTGTTGTCTACTTGAAGGCTAAGGGGGTATTAACTAGGTTAATTTATAAAAGTGTCAATTTCTATTGAAATCTGCACTTTTTGCAAAATGAAAAAATAAAAACAGGACACTCTTCAAACATAAAGTGTTTCAGCTAAAATTGTTTAGGGTTTTGTTTAGGGACCCTTTAAGCAGTGTGTGTGTGTGTGTGTGTGTGTGTGTGTGTGTGTGTGTGTGTCTCTCTCTCTCTCTCTGTCGGTATTTTCACTTTGTTTATGATTAAGCCACCAGAGCACCAGGTACTATATTTATTTTTCTAGTTGGAGTGCAGGGGTATTTTGTATTTTCTTTTTATATATATATATATATATATAAGATTTTGAGAATTTAGATTTTGTGGGTCCAAATCCCAAAATGCTATACATTTGTTCCTGCCTGGCAGCAGGGCCGCCATCAGAAATTGTGGGGCCCCTAACACAGCTTAAGGTCTGGGCCCCTGGGTGCCTGCCTCCAAGCCCCGCCTCCAAATCCCGCCCACAGGAATACACAGACACACACACAGAAAGATACACACATACTGAAACAGACATACACACATATAGAGACACACACACATACTGACGGACATACATACATACATAATGGCATACATACACATACATACTGATATACATACATACAGATACACACACACACACAGATATATACTGACATACACACACACAGACTGACATACATACTGATAGCTATATACATACATACAGACACACACACTGACATACACACACACATACATACAGACATATATACATACTGACACACACACAGACATTTATATACATACTTGCAGACACGTACGTATACACACACACCTCATTTATCAGCCACCCTCCTCTTACCTTTAAGTTGCAGGAGGGTGGCTGGGGATGATGGAAGCAGATGCCTCTGCTCTCCCTCTCCCCCCGCGCGGAGTAAGCTGGGAGGAAGTGATCGGCTGTCACTTCCTCCCAGCAGCACTTGCGGTGTAGCCGCAATTTTTTTTAAAGTGCCCGGTCGCGCAACTACACAGTCGCAGATGCACCTGCGGCAGTTTCACCGCTCCACATGGGGCTCGGGCCGCCAGACCCATGACAACCGCCATGGTTGTCACCTCCTGATGGCGGCCCTGCCTGGCAGTAAGATAAGTGCACTATGGGAGTATAGTGATATACATGCAGCTAATCTTGTAAGAAATACAATAACATTATTCCCATACCTCAATCCTGTAGAATGATAGTGCAGGCCTCACGAGTGTGCTGGAAATCCAGTGCAACCAAAAAAAAGAGAGGAATGTCATAGCTCTGCTTGCCACTTAACAAGTCTGAAGTAGGCCTTAAGCACCATAACCACTAAACCCCACTATCGTGGTTATGGTGTCAGGATTGTTTTGTCAACGTACCTTGTTCCTCTGTGTACATGTGCTGAATTCAGAGGTCTCCACTGAAATAAGCCCGGCCTACAAAAGTGGCCCTGCACTGCTCAGTGGAGCTAATTTGATTCTTTTAAAACATTCTTAAACAGTTCACTTTTTACTTTAGCACCATAACCAATACAGCATACATTTGTTTGTAGCATTATTATGAATTATATTGCAGATAAAGATTACCATAAGTAAATCAACATATACAATATTCTTAACAATTTAAATGGAAGTGGTGATAGCTTTATGGTGTAGAATATCTGAAAACGTCTTATAGGTTTTTAAAAGAGTGCTATTACAAAACTTGGGCTCATTGACCTCTTGCGTGCCATTCTGCAAAGAAAAGTCTTAGTAATATGGGTTTTGTTTTTATAAAAAGGACTGAGATCATCTAAAAATCATTGCCATATATTACTGACAGTTTTCAAGGCAATGTTTAATGATACTGGTGCTGTTAAGCAAGTACAAACATTAGGAGCCACTACATAAAACACTCTTATCAAGACTTTTAAAACGCATTGTTTTCGGTCTCTAATAATCCAAAACGGTTTTGCATTTCAGGCACAGCTAGAAGGCATTATTGCGCCCAAGAAGTAACGAAGCAGCCGTAACATCTGTGGACAGGATGTCTGTCGTTCGGATTCTATCCCATGTGAAAATTCAAGATTAAAATAATTTTACCTTTAGGACATAGTTATAATTAATTTGGGCTGTTGTATATATTAAAATTGTGTGTTTGATTGCTGCTCGTTATTCTGTAATGAAACACCTCAATATTATTATTTAAATGTCCAAGTTCTTTTGATGATAAATTTGTTTCAACCCAAGTCCAAGTCTTTGCTTGAGTAGCAATTTGTTGGGAATCTTGCATGTCCTTTTTATTAAATGGCCATCTGTGTAAGACATCTCTCAGGAAACTTGCTGCCAGCTGGAGATAACCTGTTCTATGTGAAGTTGGATCCAGGGGTACACAGCATCATCCCTTAGGGGTGATGAGAAAGCTTCATGTTATATATAATCTTGCTTATGGAGTTAATGTTTATAACAGCAAATACCAGTTTAATAATAATGGCTTGGGAATACATGATTTCCATATGATAAATGTAAAACAGGTTATTTTCTCCACAAAATTTTGGAAAAGACTGCACCATATCCAAGCCACCTCTTACATGGAGGTACCTGCCCATTTGTAATGAGTGGTTTTATTAAAGGCACACTATAGACACCCAGACTACTTAAGCTCATTGAAATGGTCTGGGTAGAATGTCCCTATTGCACTTAGTGCTGCAATGTAAAACATTGCAGTTTTATAGAAACAGTTTTAGGTTTACATTGCAGCACTAAGACATCCTCTAGTCTAGTGTCGGTCTACCAAACAGCCAGTAGAGGCGCTTCCATTTGGTCCGCTAACTGATGCTGAACATGCTCATGCTCGGCGCATTACTACCCCCTCTTCAAGTGATGGAGGAGGCGGAGCCATGACCCAGCGCCAAGGGTTTTTAACCCCTTATTCACCGGGGCAGGGGGAAGTCAGAGGGAGCTTACTCCAAGCACCATAACCACTTCTGTTACATCCCTGCCCACACTAGAGTGTCAGGTATACCTGGGACATTTTTAGTGGCTCAAGACTAACAAAAATAACAGTATGCAGTGCTCTAAAATAAGCACAGCTACAGTCATATAAATAGAAATTGAAATGCCTATTGTACCAATGTAGTGTGTGCAGAATAAAATCCCTGCTCACCGGAGCCAGATTAAGAGCCCATTGGGCCTGGGACTGACAATTATGATGGGTCTAATTACAGAATCTTATCGACAGAAAACAATTAAACAGTCATAACTCCAAAGCATCATGTATCTGGTGGAGGTGGTGCTGGAGGGAAACTCACAGGTTATAGCTATCAGAAAACACATACCCTATGCTAATCTCTTGCTTTCATCTTACAAGTAAATCCATATCCCCTAACAGCAGGTCTGGTGAAGCAGGATATCGATGTGCGGGGTTAAAGGGTGGGCCACTGATGTGAATCACGTAACAAGAACCGCCTAAAGGGGCAAACATGCCCAAAAAAGGGCGTATCTACCCCAAAAAAAATTGGAAGACCAGCCTGGCATGAATGTATGTCTGGCTGCCTTCCAGAAATGCATGCTGGTCAACTAATGGATAAACGCATCCAATAATGCGCTCACTCCACACTTTCTAAGGAGTGTCCCCTAGAATTCACTTGTCCACTCCTCTCCTAACCTTCTTTCTAGCAGGAAGAAGCCCCTGTTACACAGTCTGGGACAGAGGAAAAGCATATACTGTGTGTAGAAGAAACGGAACATGCCACAGTGCTAGAGACCGAAGCAGCAAGAGCATTCGCAGAGTCAGCTTTACCTTAAATAAAAAAAAATTTAAATCAATGGGCCTTTTCCATGGGTATGGGTCTGTAGCTGTTGCTCAATCAGTCCCTATGTTAATCCGGCCCTGCTGCTCACATCAGAGGGACTCTGGTATTAATGGATACTGGGGCCTTCCCTCAGTCAGCTGGTGGTGTTCTTTTTAGTGAACCCCAGACTGACTGAAACGTTGTATACAGAGTTCAAAGTAAATGCTGCATACAACCCTTTTAAATCCACTGAGAAGTTTGCATATACAAGAATGCAAAAATCCCAGTTTGAAGGCTGGGTATATCCCCAAGCAAATTGTGGTTTGTGCGGAGCTTTGCCCAATCACAGTGTAATTGGCTAGGAAAGCATTCTTGATTCATCTAGACAGGAAAATGTTATTGAAATACTGACAAAAGCCAGTAGATGGTGCCAACATAACAGTCTATACTGTTTTAGCTAGGAAACCCATCTGCTAACATCAGCTGCTGGTTTCCTGAGGATTAGTGGTAGGGTTAGTTGGTGTGAGGTAAGTTTAAAAAAAAATATGCTGTTTTGAGGATAGGGTAGGGTTAGCTATATGGGTAGTGTAAGCAGAGAATAAGGGGTATGGTTGGTATTGGGTTAGCAATAACTACCACAAATTAATTTAGATCTTAGACTTATTGGCATTTAACAATAAGGACTGATCTGAGAGTCTGTTTTGAGTTATTTTTATTTAATTTTACTAGATGTGCCCCACCTCCATTTTATTCACACTTAATTTTGTGTTCGGTATACATATAAGATATATAAAGAAAGCCCTTTCTATTTATTAAAAATCATTAGGTATAGGGGCACATACACAAGGCAAATTCTAGGTTTTGTTTTGGCTCAGAACTGTGACAATTACCTCTGTCCTGTGTTAAATTAAATTATTTAATACAAAATAACTTTACAGTTACATTAAGCACATGCTAAGAGAACCCAAAACACAAAACTTATATTAGGCTTCAATCTTGGAGATGCAACACTCCATGTTATGCCTTTAACTATTTAAAAAAAAAAAGGAGAAGCACCACCAAATGAGTTCAGCTATTTTATTGGACAGTAAAAATATTATTGCTTCTGCTTTGATTTTTTCTGTCTGACATTTTGATCTTCTGGGTCCGTTTTCTTTTTGTTGCGGTTTTTGTTTTTCACGTTGTGAGTGTCGTAGTACCGCACACCAACTTTCTTTGAACGCTGCTGCCTCTCTATCCTTCGCCTCTAAGGGGGGGGAAAAACAATTGTAATCAGTGTAAGACAACTGGAAATTACTTTACAGCTGAGTGATGCACAGTATTTTGTAATTACTGCTGGAAATGATCTGCAGTAAAAGCAAATAATATCAAGCCACAAAACACAAATCTGGTGATGCAGCTACCCTTTAGTGTAAACAGGTCAGTTTTCCCACAATCTACCCACCAAGGACAAAAAAAATAAATAAACAGAGCAAAGTTTGCAGCAGATTTTAAAAAAAAAATGCATAAAAATTAACACAAATAAACCAATAAATTAAAAAAGAAAATAAAGAATACATGAACTGACAACGAATTTACTGCACAGTGTATGAAAAAAGTTAAGAAAGCATTAATAAAAATAATGAAAGCTAAAAAAAAAAAAAGGTACATAAAATTAAGATTAATACATAAAAAGCATAACTGATACAATAAAAAGTGTATCCATCCAAACTGTTGCTTAATAAACCCCCAACAAATTGGTTTAAGAGTAAGTGGTGTCAGTTGACCAAGAAGCTATCCCCAATAGATGAAAAAACAAACTGGAAATCAATGAGAGGAACCCAAGTTCAGAATACTAACTTTCCAAGATAATGAGAGAGAAGCAGACCTATAAGAAACAGTTCCTGTGATATGCAAAATTTAGTCAATAGAAGAAAAAAAATAAATAAAATAAAAATCACAGTTAAATGAACACTCCGGTTGCAATAACAATTTCACCTAAATAAAGTTGATCTGCTGCCAAGAGGCCCCCAGACGCACTCTTACAGTAAGGCGTTAAACCATTCTCAACGTGCCGCTGAGTAGGGGTGCCGCTATTTGGCTCTGAGCACCAGCTGTCCACTTTAACCCCTTAAGGACACGACTTCTGGAATAAAAGGGAATCATGACGGAATATTTCCGTCATCTGTCCTTAAATGGTTAAGCCAATCAATGGCTCCCCAGCCCTGCGGCACCCCTTGCTTCTTGAAACAAAAAAATCAGAAGACGGATGCTGCCTGCGGGACAAACCATTTGGGGGTCTACTGGAACCATAACTTCATTTTATGAAGTTATGGTGACTAGAGTGTTCCTTTAAGCTGACATTCAATTGATGTTAATACAAAGTGATGGTTGTTTGGGTTTAGTTTGGTAAGTGCTTTAATTGATCAATCAGTGGGCATTTATATAAGCGGCTTAACCCCTTAAGGACCAAACTTCTGGAATAAAAGGGAATCATGACATGTCACACATGTCATGTGTCATTAAGGGGTTAAAGAGCTGACGTTCTGGAAAAGAAAAATGCTTGCCCCAGGGCAGTGGGGCACTAAAAGGGGTTAAAGGGGCAGTTCGCCCCAGGTAGAGGGGTGCCACGACCCTGTACCCAGGGACAGCCTTAGGAGTCCCTGCTTCCCCACCAACTTGACTACAGGAGCTGCACTGCCTTCACCAGCCATAAAGAAAAGAGGTAATTGTGTGCCTGTGCAACGGTCTGCCTGTAACTGCGTGTGTGTGTGTGTGATGGGATTTTCTATTTGATCTTGTATTAGGGGGTCTGAGCAGGGGATTTGTGGGAGGGGAATGCAGGGGTATTGGTGGATAAGGGGCAGGACAGGGGTTTTACATTTTTGTGCAATACATTTAAAAAAAAAAAATTACACATTTTAAAATTTTTCCAGGTGTATGGAGATGGGGTGTTGGGGGAGATATGTGCCAAACACATGATCTGGCTCGGGTGCCAAATGCTCTAGGTACACCCCTGCCCCAGGGAAACAGTAATGGTGGAGGACTGCAGCAGATAAAAGCCAACAGATATTGCCCAAATGATTTCTTCAGGAAAAGTGAAGAGGTGATCCCTGAGGTGGCTATTGGGGATTAGGGATAGTTTCTTGGTTATCCGTCATATTTTTCTTGGACTCCATTTTCACTGGAGGTCAACGTGTGTTCTACTACCCTTTATACAAGTTATGGGTGTTTTTATTATGCAACAGTTTGGATGTATACACTTTTCATTATATCAGTTGTTATTTAATGTATTAATCTTATTTTGATGACACACCACCCCCCCCTAATTAATTTATTTTTAATTTTAAATGAAATGGTGTAAAACAATAAAATGGTAGCAATCTGCATGCAAATCCACATCTGCCCATTTGGATTCCTAGTTTCCAGCCATGGTTACTTCCCACATTTTATTTATTTATTTTTTAAGGAATATTATTGGATGGAGTTAACCTATTCACTTTTTTATTTTAACAGTCCCACGTCTAGCTGAACGGGGACATACACGCGTTTTGTTTTTAGAAATTCTTAATTGATAGATATATAAAAATCAATCTTATACACAGAAATATTGTAGAAGTTTCTTATAAAAACTCCTGTATATCAGTGTCTTGTAAATACAGTACTAGACTCATTTCTCTTACCTCTTTGGATTTTAATTTCTTCTTTGGTTTTTCATCATCTTCATCCTCAAACTGTTTTCTTTTCTTCCCTTTCTTTGTGGTCTCTGAGAATGAAGAAATGATCATGTACATACTTCCAACCATAAATTAAATTACAATACAATACACAACATGTACCAGTAATCTTACAAAAAGAGCAAAAGAGTTAGGCAAGAGCAGCAGATACAAACCATATTACATATATGTATATATAAAATGTGGAATTCCTATCACATGTGTTTCTTCTTCCAGGTTTCAGATAGAGTTTTACTTTGTATCCTTCTCATCAAAACACATTTCTCCTAAAAAAAAAACCCTTTATTTGATCCTGATACAATGTAACGAGCTGTATTCTTTTAAAAGACA